TTTTATCATTGCCCCAAAATCATAGGACTCTTGTCTGCCAACTTTTTGTAATTCTTGCAGTGGGTCCTGCCTTATCCCGGCAAAGGCTAAGAGGACGTACTGATACTCACACAGTAGCTTGCAAGAATCTAGCAATAGGTATAGCATAGACTCTTTTAAGAATCCAGCACAGGTATAAATCCTTCAATAACATTAGACAGAGGGGTGATTGGGGATAGTCTATACAGAAGCAGGGACAAAACAAACTACACAAGCTAATATAGAAGTGATAATAGGCGGTGAGACAACCATCCTCACATTCACTGTCTCATTACATTTGCTTGTTGCATCTTCTCTTTCATTAGCGCATGAGCTCTTAGGAGCAGGTCAACCCGCCTGTTTGTACAGCGCTGAACACAATGGGGCCCTCATCTGGATCAAGGCGTTCAGGTGCTACCATAATATACACAATTAGTAAGAGAAAGTCCAGGATTTGGGCTACCCTTCTGTACCGTTTCCCTTGAATTTTGTTTGTGAATTTACAAAAACTGTTTCCTGGGGTTAAACATTCAAACTAGGTAACGAGAATATTGGATTTCAGGAAGAGTCTATGATGGAATATGGATTCTCCTCCATCAGGTAGCATCACAGTACCTGCATCTTTGGTCTTTCCAGTCTATCCCTCAGAAGATCAATACAATATGGAAATGCACAGACTGGGATATTAAAATGTTAATCTCTGACTGTAGCAGCTTTTGGCCAGGTCTACACTTAAAACTTTTGCTGGTATAGAAATATTAGTTAGGAGTGTGATTTTTTCTCTTTAATGACATTTTTATACTGGCAAAAGCCCTAGCGTCGATGCAAGTCTACCAGCAAAATCCTGTCTTTGGCTGTGTCTACGATAGGAGGGTGTGCCGATACAATTATCCTAGCATAGTTATCCTGGCAAACCTCTTCTAGTGTAGACTAGGCCTTAGGGCCAGATCCTCAAAGACAGTTAGGTGTCTAACTCCCATTGACATCAGGAAAAGTTTGGGAACACAGGGATTTCTCAATCTTCAACAGAGCTCTTCAGAAACGGAAACATTATGGATCACCGTATAATAAAGATTCAGTGACACCCAAACTGCAACAGCTGCAAGGACAAAGTTAGCAGATCTGTGCCACATCTCAAAAGATATGGATTTATGCTGTTTTCTTATATTTCAGAGCTTTCTGAGAAGGTGTCACTAGAGCATAAAGATATTTTCAATTTATGTGGCGAGGGAGGTGGACAGGCTGCCTTCAGTTCAGCTGGCCTGCTCAGACTCCAAATTGGCAGTGAATCACCATCCCCATGTGTCTACCGGCAGCAGACAGGTCTGAGAAGTTTACATTTACCCAATCTAATCTTTCCAGCAGCAGGGCTGACCCACCCACTAAAGAACTGGAGGTGGCAAATAAAATTATCTATGAAATCCAAATAGTGTATTATGCTATAAAAATTCATAGCTGGCTCTTTGGAGACTTCCTGATCTAATATCCCTTTCTTAGAGCCAAAGGACACAGCTATGCTAACAAAACTCACTGTCTTACTCTAGTAATAGGCCCAACTGAGGATAGAAAGAGAAGGTCCCTTGTGGGAGAAGGAGCTTCACTCTAGGAGGAGGCAGAGAGCTATCTATTGCCTCATATATACAGGAGCTCTCAGGGCCAAATCCAGCAACACCCCAGAGAGTCTGATTGGGCTCCTTTTTCCCCCCGCCCCCGAGTGGGCTGGAATGGCCTGCTGATTTACATACTTGCAGAAGCACCTCCCAAAATCCCTGGCAGCATACCACAGAGCATTGCTGCAAGGTACATGGGGTATGGGGCACCCAAATCCTACTCCAAAGATGCAGTGTAGACACAATGGACCAGATGCAATCTAGGATGTCTGTGCCATAGGGAAAAGGTGCTGGAGCGGTTTCTTAAGTAGCAATGCAACAAGGGCTTTGCATCCCATTGGATTTCACAGGAATTTTATTCATTTATATTCTTCAGAATTGGAGCAAGACCAGAAATCCTACTTTAGAAAGTTCAAGAGGAGGTTCAGAAAGCACCATGGACAACCATCCACTGTGGGCATCAGTTTAAAAGGCTGTTTTGTTGGTCAATCAGATTCTGGACTTTAATTTCTAGTTACTTCAAAAATAATAAATTTATTGTTCTCAAGGTTAACCTTAACCATTCTCTCTACGTAAGAAAGACTAGCTAACTAGACAATAAAGCGTCGACTTGCAGTATGATTCCCTGTTGGGAATATGGATGTACTTTGGATCTACCTTCCAGGGAAGCTTGTGAGTTCAAAGTCCTTTTCTTCTTTCACATAAAATGCTCCCCAAGCATATTCACAAAATATTTCAATGTAATTACAGCTCATTTTAAGAGAGAGGCAATTTTGAGTATTGGGACACTTTGCTTCCAAAGGAATGCTCCTCATATAAGGAAGCTCCCAATACAACTCAAGGCAAGCTCCCAAAAACACAGGAGAGGATTTATACCAAAAAGATTAATCAAACATAACACAACTTGTGCCTTCTACACAGGGCGGACCTCAAGTGTTCCCAGCATGCTCATTTCCCTCTTCAGTTTATTTCACAAAGACACAAAGGGGAAAAACTTCCTACTGCAGAATTTTTGAAGCTACTCCGGGACCTCCTCTCACACTCAAATGTCCCCATCCACGAAGAGGGCTGTCTCTCTTTGCAAAACTTACTCTTTTTCCTGTGCGGGGTACAACTATTTCAGAGTCCAGGCTCCTGTTTTCTCTTTTTCCAATTTCATTTTCCAGCAGAAGGTAAAGTTTTCAAAAACACCTAAGTGACTTAAGAACATGAGTCCCATGTTTAGACATGACTTAGACACTAAGGAGGCTGAATCACTCTGACTGTCAATGAGATGTAGGCTCCTAAGACACAAAGCCACTTCTGAAAATGGGACTTAAGACTTCTAAGTCACTTAGGTGCTTCTGAAAATATTACCCTGTGTTCTTATCAAACCACCCCACCCTCCTTATCCTCTCACACCAGTGTAAATCACGAGCAATTCCACTGATGTCTAAGGAGAATCAGGTCCCTTCATGAGTCAACAAGAGACCTTATGCCACAAAAGGACCTTATGCCACAACTGCATCAACCCATTATCTTTTCAAGATGATCATTCCACCTCTCTTTCAGGAGAAGAGATTCCATTTTTACTTGTTCTTAAGGAAACCTGGGCCAAATTCTGTTCTCTCTTACATCAGTATAAATTTGGAGTAACTATACTGACTTTAAAGGAATTACTCCAGATATACACCAGGGCAGAGAGCAGGATTTGGCCTAGGGAGTAAGTACTCCACAAAGAAAATTACTTCCCTTCATAGGAGACTGTGAACTCCCAAGAAGAGAACTAATTGGCTCTCTCTCCTGACGAGCTACCGTGGGGCAGCAGTCACAGAGGGGAGTTCCAGTACGAAGGGAAGAAAAGGGCTAACACCGCAGTGTTTTCCTCTGCCGAAAACACAGGTGGAAGCTGTCCAACGTTTGTTAATAGCAATGACTGTGAGACAGCTGAAGCAAAGCCCATATTAAGTCAGATCAAGTTTACAGATGTGTAGCTGATTATTTTGAATAATTAAATGGTGTCAAACCCAGCTGTGATGAATAGCACTGGGGGCTCAATTCATAAATAATTGAGAAGACTGAGTCGCATTTGATCATTCTGATCAAATTCTACTCTCTGGAGGATAAATGTTTGTCCTGAATACCATCAACATTGTTAAATGCCTCAATATTCCTGCTCAGTCATCCAGCCAGCAGCCAATTGAACTAAATCACTTTAACACCTCACCCATTTGCCGTTCTTATGAATACAAAATGTCTATGACTTACACAATAGTTTCTGAGTATCAGACAATGCAGCCACTCACACAGACTGCAACCAAACAGAGGCAGTAAATGTTTTAAATGATCCCATAAAAGACAATTCCTGCATATAGCCTTGTCTTTATTGCATTCAGCGACGAGGCTTTAGATATGAGACCACCAATTTTGTTCCGTTGTTGTGTTTGTAACTACAGCTGTCTTTATGATCCATCCATAACAGTTTAAAATAGGCATATACTGATGGATATCACCCAGTGTGGTCCCACTGTGCCCTCCATGGAGGAAATGCCACAGCTGCATACCATTGACCAGATTTCTCAGCTGAAAATACCTCTTAAGGGCCAATATTTCCAACCTCAATTGTGAACTGATTGAAAGGAACTCCTGTTAACGCTAGCTACAGAATAACTGTTCTCACTCAGTAGTGCCTGGGACTACAACCCTTACTCGCACCCACTAGGGCTTACTCCTGTGAGTAGTTCCATGGGCATCACTGAGGCTACCTATGTTACTCAGCATGTGTAACAATTGCAGGTTCAATCCCTTATTGATCGCTAAGCTCCAAAACCTGTTTGTTACTAGGTGTAGAATACATAAGTGTCATGTATCTGGACTTCGAGAGAGAAAGGGCTGTATTCTAATTTCAGTTTCACTCTGATGGAGGTGTTCCGGATTTACACTGGTGTAACTCTAATCAGAATCTGGTCTAGATATTTTAAAATATTCGCATAATATAAATACTGTGGGCCAACCGGGAAGCCCTAACTCACTTTTCACTCTGACAAAAAGCCCAATGACTCCAGTGGGAGTTTTTGTGAGTAAGGAGTGAGTAGAAAACTGAATAAGGACTTTGGGATCTGACCCAACATAAACAGGTAAGAACAGCAATTTCCGTGTCCCTGTTTAACGTTGCTTACTAAGGGGCAGATTCTACCACCCTAGCTCACCCTGAATCGTACCTTACTCTTCCTGGGCAATTCAAGAAGTAAGATATTATTTAGTGTGAGCGATGGTAGCAAACCCTGGCCCATTGTGACTGGAATAAACTACAGCTTGTCCCTTACTGTGAGTACACAGAATGTTTAGTTATGCTAGGAAAAGGCTATTTCTTTAAAGGTTAATGAAACTTACCTCAAAGTCTTCTGAGAAGCCATGTTGGTTATTAGAATAGAGCTCACTGATATGTTTAACAAACTGTTTGACAGGAATGGCTTCCATATCATCTGTAGAAAGAGAAAGATATTCAGAGTTGCTAGGCCATGTTTTTTCTGTAAATATGCCTGATATGTTTCATATCTGAGACTGTGAGATCCATAACTCCATCTTCAACCTCAGGTCATAGAATATTTTACATGTGCCTTATTGGAGTTCTCGAGTGGCATGGTTTGTACTGTATATACTTACAAGAAATCCTAGCATATCTGTTACCGATATCTGGGTGCAACTGTTCACACAACATACTTAATCCTAGATATTACAAATATGAGTAGTGTTTTTGGCCTTGTAATGCATTTTTTCAGAGCTATCCTTTAGCCCAAAGTTACAGTACCATTTTGTCAATTATACTTTTGGGAGTATTTTAATTGGGGGTATTTTAAAAATGAAAGTAGCTGTGAGTTCTCAGATAAGGAGACCATCGAACCCTGGAGCACTTTTGTGGCCACACATTCTTTAAGAGTCACAGAATCGCCACACAAAAGACAAAGTATACGTTAAAAAATGGCCCTTGTACCACTGCTGACAGCTCCTGACTCAGCAGTGACACAGGTGTATTTCCCGGAATGGAGGAATTTCTCCTTTTTAATTTACAGTACAGTAGTATCCCAGTGAATCTGTAATGAAATACTATACGAGCATCATTAACATTCACTTGGAGCAAAAGACCAGCTGAGGCAGTGTCATTTGAGTTTTCTCTTCACTCCAAACACTGTTCCTAACATGGCACAGTCACCCCACCGGACTGCTAACCACAGAACAATTTCTATTCAGTACGGCAATAAATCATGAACCCTTTGAATGATGAAGAAACCAAAGGTCTTGACTGATGCAATAAAAACCCCAGGACATTTCCTGAAAGAAGTTCCTCGGAAATCAAGACATCATCAAAAACCAGGACAGTCCTGGTAAGACTGGGCTGTAGGGGTACCCTCCACAGGCAGGGCTTGTCTAGAGGAACAATTAGTGCGCGGCAAACTGGCTGTAAATCTGCAGCACGTTGAGGCTACATCTACACTACAGCACGATGCAGCTGTGCACTGTAATGCTTCCGGGGGGGAGATACTCTGAGCCGACGGGAAAGAGCGCTCCCATTGGCTCAATGACTCCTGCCTCTGCGAGAGGCAGTAGCTACATTCCCACCGACACAGTGCAAGCTACACCGGCACTTAGTTCGGTGTAACTTACGTCACTCAGCGGTGCGGATTATTCACACCCCCGAGCGACGTAAATTATACCAAAGTAACCTGTAGTGCAGATAAGGTCTAAGTATCTGTGTGGAACCTGCTACCTTGAGCTAAAAGCTCTCTAATGTGCATTGACCTAATCCTATTTCAGAGTGGAGTAAGACTTTGTCTACACTACAGGTTACTTTGGTATAATTTACGTCGCTCAGGGGTGTGACTAATCCACACCGCTGAGTGATGTAAGTTACACTTACCTAAATGCTGGTGTAGACAGCTTCTCCTGCTGACATAGCTACCACCTCTCATGGAGGCAGGAGTTAGTAACGGGAGAGCTCCCTCCTGTCTCCACCACAAGGACAAGCTATGCCAATGCAGCTGTGACGTTGTAAGTGCCGTAGCATAGATGTAGCCTCAATCAAAGCACACTGGGACTTTGTGCGTGTGGTAGCAGGGTCCACATGCACAAACAGTGTGTGACACTACAGATTTACAGCCCAGCTGCTCTGTTCATGGAGACAAGCCCTCGTATTTCTGGGGTCTCAATGTTGCTACATTCACCACTTCAATTGGTAAAATCCCTGTGCTTTCAGGGCGTAATTAGTTAATGCTTGCAAATTGGCATTTTGAAAATGTAATGCAGAGCAACACAAGTGTGATTATTTTCAGCATGTGCAATAACGTATTGCCCGATGTTTGATTGCATCATTCAAGGCATTATTAGACATTTATGCATTTTATTTAATGTCCTTCTGAAGATTACATGTGGCTTATGTTCACTTCAGGTACCTGTGATGTGTTTTTCCTCCCATATGGTTTTTTGCTACAGCTGCAGTATTTTCTGCATTCTCCTGCTTTTCAAAAATATCTGTGTTACGATGGAAAAAAATCCAAATATTGCTATCGGTATTCAGCAAAATTTAAAGATAAACAAAGAGACATGTAACATTTACTATATTCGGAGTGAAAGATCTCTGGCAAACTACTAAACCACGAAGCAATCACCTATGCTTTTTTTAGCAAAGGGTACCAAATGGGTATGCGTAAATGAGGTTCTACTTTGGCAAGAATTTTATAGATTCAACCCTGAAAACCTGATTTTTCTCTGGTTGATGGCAGTTACTAATGATCGTGTCATTACTCCTCTGCCTCCATTTTCTCAAGTAAGGCTTTGGGGGAGCTTTTTGCATCCAATGACATTTTCAAACTTGAATCAGCCTGAGAGGAAAATATTCTCTTTCTTCTATTTTATTAACAGGGGCAATTGTTTAAAATGTATTTATAATCTGATCACCTCATCCTGGGAATTTTGAACATTGAGAACATTTGATAAGAGTACGATCATTTTAGCAAAAGGCCTTAGAATATTGCGAGCAATTTACAATATTTAAATACCAACAATGGTATATTATAATATTAGAATACAATAGTATTTCATTAAGATACATTTATGTTTCTACAGCCAAGACATTCAGGAATTCAGGGATCACAGGGACAGTAGTGCCAACAGTATGTAAAAAAATCTTCCCACTCCTGCAAAGTAAAGTACGTCCCGAGCTGCCGAGATTACAGCCGGATTAAGGATTTCACATAATACAAAAATCACAGGGAAAATGCTGTTATTATTTATTTGTCCTGTACTAGAGCCCAGAGACCGAGCTGAGATCAGGGGCCCACTGCATCAGATCAGGGTGTCAAATTAAATTTTGCAGAAACTCCATTTTTAATTATGGTCATTGCCCTGGCATACATTTAGGATGACAAACTCCCTTCCATCTTCTGAATTCCCACTGATTTCAATGAGCATTTGGTACCAAAGATCAAGGACAGAATATGGTCATTATGTATTAACTAAGCTGTTAGCTATCATTATTGCTCAGTGACAAAGTATCCTCACCTTTAGAACCACAACTAATTCTGCTCTTTCTTTTTCTTCCTTCTCCATGCAGCTTTCTCTGACTCTTTCCTCCTTCCCTCTTGTTGTCTCTCTCCTCCTCTCTTCCCTCTGTATGTTCTCTACTATAGCAACTCCCAAGTCCCTCCATGGGCTTCACCCCCACCCAGTTTCCCATCCTATTTGATAAAATGATCAGCAATGAAATAGTTAATAATGCTGATGTGACGCAGATGAACATCACAATGAGAATAATGGGGGTGGGGGGAGTTCACACTTCCAGAGCTACTGTTTCCGCCTGCCTGCAGACTCAAGAAAACAGCACTGTAACCGTTGCACGTGCTTAGCATTTGAAAGCCTAACTTCTCCGCCATGAAGGTTAGAAACTTAATAAAATAAAACAAAGGGTTAGATTCTATAGAATCTGAATATGCCATGGAAGAGGGGGAGGGTTCATAAATACATGGAGTGGGCTGGATCTGGCATGGGCCAGGTGTTTAACACCTCTGTGCTAGGCACCGTACAGGCTCATAGTAAGAGACTCAGACTTAAAGGCCAGAAGGGACCGTTATGATCATCTAGTCTGATCTCCTGCACATTGCAGGTCAAGAACCCCATCTACCCACAGAACAGACCCATAACCTCTAGCTGATTTCAGAGTAACAGCCGTGTTAGTCTGTATTTGCAAAAAGAAAAAGGAGTACTTGTGGCACCTTAGAGACTAACCAATTTATTTGCGCATAAGCTTTCGTGAGCTACAGCTCACTTCATCGGATGCTGTAGCTCACGAAAGCTTATGCTCAAATAAATTGGTTAGTCTCTAAGGTGCCACAAGTACTCCTTTTCTTTTTGCGAACCTCTGGCTGAGTTACTGAAGTCTGCAAATCTTGATTTAAAGTCATCAAGTTACAGAGAATCCACCATTTACTCTAGCTCAGACCAGCAAGTGACCCATGCCCCATGCTGCAGAGGAAGGTGAAACTCCCCACAGGGTCTCTGCCAATCTGTCCCAGGGGAAAATTCCTTCTCGACCCCAAATATGATGATCAGTTAGACCCTGAGCATGTGGGTGAGACCCACCAGTCAGACATGTGGGAAAGAATTCTCTGTAGTAACTCAGAGCCCTCCTTGGCTGTTGGAGATATTTTCCAATGGCCATATGTCATTGCAGGAACCCTTGTCAACTATCCCGTCAATGAACTTATTGAGCTCTGTCTTGAAACAAACTATGTTTTTTGCCCCACTATTCCCCTTGGAAGGCTGTTCCAGAACTTCACCACTCTGATGGTTAGAAACCTTCGTCTAATTTCAAGCCTAAACTTGTTGATGGGTAGTTTATATCCATTTGTTCCTGTGCCAGCCTCGGCCCTTAACTTCTTTCCCTCCCTGGTGTTTAGCCCTCTGACATATTTATAAGAGCAATCATAGCTCCCCTTGGCCTTTGTTTTGTTAGGCTAAACAAGCCAAGCTCCTTAAGTCTTCTCTCATAAGGCAGGTTCTCCATTCTTCTGATCACTCTAGCAGCACCTCCATTCTTCTGATCACCCTCCATTCTTCTGATCACCTGTTCGACTCCCTGCCTTGAAGAATTCATAATCTAAATAGACAAGATAGGCAAACTGAATCCAGAATCCTTCTTCCCAGTCCATAAATACACCTTCATTCTCCCTGACATACAGAAGACAGCCGTGATACTAAAGATATTTAACCTGACATGGAGTAGTTTGGCAAGGCCTTCAGGTACATTATCTAAATTTGATGCTGTGTGCTAGAAGGTATCCTTCTGATTTCTGGCTCTCTTCTTAAATGGAGCTGGCACAAATTAATGTAACGTAGGGCCATATTTCGCCCATCTGTAGTGCCCCCAAAACCTCCTAGTCAGGAGCATGAATTAACCTAGTTGGGGAGGGTGTGTTTTTGGCCACACGTG